ATTTGGTTCTTTTTAATTGAGTGTGGCACGCCGCCCAGTGTCACTCTCTTGATCTATATAAATATGATCAATCAATCGATCATCACTTAACAATGACAATTATGATTGTTAAAGGTTATATCCCACCTTTTCTACATGGGAGTTTCCCTTCATTTTATCCCCACCACAACCTGTGAGGAAGGAGGGTTAGAGAAACTGGCCCAAAGTCACTCAGAGAATTTCTGTGGCCAAGGACCGACCTGTATCCTGATCTCCCTCTTGCTCTTCTTAACCACTACCCTATACTGACTCTCAAGAAGACTGAGTGTGTGTGTGTGTGTGTGTGTGCACATGTGGAGAGATGTAGATTACTGTATTTTGTGGTTAAAGAAAGTTTCCAGTGCTAATATAACATGATTCGTTTAATTTTGTGCAGAACCATTGTAAACCAAAGCTTATGGCTTAGTATATCGTGATTTATTCAATAAACCATGATTAAAACCAGGGTTAAGCAATGGCAGACCTCATCATGTTCTAAGAATAGCCGTACTGGATTACAAAGCCAGCTTTTGAGGTTTTTCACCGGATGGAAAACTTTGCTCTGATCTTTTGCTGGTGGGGAACTCTGCCAATGTTCAGAAGCCCTCTTCCGTTCACTTTGGATGCCCCGGGCTTTACTGCTGCAGCAACATTTTCCAGGATTATAAACTGTCCAATCTTTGAGGCCCCACGAGACCCGACTGATTTGAGTACTTAAAAGCCCCAGCAATGCATTTCGGCTGCGAACTCAGGTAAGTGTGCGGGATTGTGTGTGTTAGATTGTTTATTTTATTCGTCGCTACTTGCACGTTTTTCCAGACCTGGAAGGATTTCCTCCAGTCTCGGATCAGTGGGGATGATGGGGGAGGGGGTGAGCGATGGGGACGGAGACTATGCACATGTTCAAAGGCACGGTCGTCTTGGGACAAAAAGTCAACGCCGTCGATCGTGCTGCAGTGGGTCCCCGGGGCTGACCGACCCCCCGCCGCCCAGCCTCCGAAACTCGCGTGGTTCTGCCGCTCGCTCTTTCCGTGGCGGGCAGCCCTGCTGGAAGGAGCGGACGGCGGGCGCGAGAGCCGGAGATCCCCGCGGGGACGCCTAATGGGCCGATTCCATTTCAACGGAATGACGCCACTT